CCCCCCCCCCCCCCCCCCCCCCATACTAACAGTATAGAAAAACTCTTACTCTGCTCCAATATGTTACCTAGCTCACTTCCTGCATTTTTAAAATAGATTAAAAAGGTTACAATTTAGACAAAAAACAAGCAAGGTTAAACATATGATTACCCTCCTGCAGGTCTTCATTCAGTCTCTGAGCAAGATCATTCAGGTTCATATTCGTCAGGATTTCAAGCATGACATTGAGAGCATCACGTTCACTGTAGGAACTTATCATCATGTCGGCGAGGTCTGTTCTATCCAAGTCCTTCACCTGACCCCTGGGAAGGGGCTTTAACTCTTTATACTTTGTGCGACTCAGTTTCCATTTAAACTTCTTTAACTCTTCATCACTGAGCATCTCCAGGTACTCCAAGAGGTCGGGGAGCGAGGTCTGGGTCTGCAGAATGTCAGAGATGAGTCCATGAGACTCACAGACCTGTTTATGGTCACTCACACACATGCACTGAACTTTCCGCTAACAGAAGTCAGTTTTCCTGCTCACAGTCTTATATGTCTGCTGGAGAAACCTACTATGATTTTTTCATTACTATAAGAAGCATGTGTGTTTTTACTCTCTGCATTATTATCAAAGCTTTATTTAACCAGGTTAGTTAGGTAAGGAAGTAGCATGAGGAAGAGCACTGCAGAGAGTGAGCTTTTTGTCTGCTAAGTTATTCTGTTCAGTTACAATACATCTGTAACATTTGGTGCAGTGTGGTATGGTAAGGAAGTAGCCTGAGGAAGAGCACTGCGGAGATGAGCTTTCTGAAAATAGTTATTCATGTTAAGGCTTTCCTGTCTCTCAGTGTCTGGTATTTACAGTACAGCCCTAATGACATGCATCTTATGTCAAGATGTTACATCCATACCTCCTCATTGGAATGGTCAGCCATCGCTTAGATGATTATAGTTCCCATGTATAGACCGACTCTGTAATCAAAAGCAGAAGTAATGTTAGCTTTATATTCAAAATTCAGTTTACAGGCTATAATATCTTTCAACCAAAGGAAACCAGTCAGTTTTTAATTACAGGTAAAGATGTGCACTGATCATTTGGACTAACAACTGTGGGCCATATTCTACTCTGTGCTTAAGTTAAAAAAAAAAGCATGTAGCCATTGAATTGAGGACTTTAAAGCACTTTTCCATCTACATACTCTGGAGAGCTGCATTTGTCACAGACCAGAGCCCAGCGGCCCATAGCTGTTCTCAGTTTGGAATTACCTCCTTCTTTGAATTGTTTGCACCTGTTGGTTTCATTACTCACCTTATTAGGCGCTTTCACACCGAAGTTCCCGAACCTGGTCCTTGTTTACAGGTTCTTGGGCTGTCTGGACCGGGCACTTTTGTAGATCCTGGCCACTTCTGTCTGTCACTGTCACACCGCACAACAGGAACTGAGACTCAGCAGAGCCGTCACTAAGTCATGGAAGTTATTGTTCATGATAAGTCAACACTTTAGTTTCTCTGGTGGAGCAGTTTAACATGTAATTTACTGAATGGGTTAAAATGCTGTTATATTTTTTTAATGTGTTATGAAATGTTTAGAAACTCATTTTAATAACTACTTCTTTTAACATCCTTGTCCAAGTCTTATACTTCCCAAGAGAACCAATTCTAATCACTTTCACAGGTAAAATTCAGCAGAACAGTTACTCTACTTCTTGTGAGTTATTCATCTGAGCCAATTAAGCATTACATTGTTTCTAGTCATGTTGTACTGTTTGTTTGTTCATTTATTTATTTTACTAAATTTCATATTTTGACTTCTGCCGAAGGTTGGAATAACTCATGGCCACACTTAAGAACCAGCAGAAGACTTGGCATGTGATGGTGCCCACAGTGTCAAATATAAACCTGTACCATAAGCAACCTAATAGATCACAGGTGACAGGGCAGGATTTTCACCGATGGCCATGGACGTCATTGTCCCTCTTTCTGGCTTTGATGCCCCTTTGAAAATCCATGTTCAGACGCCACAGTGGCCTGCAAAATTCTGCCCGGCAACAGAACTGTGTGCAAAGACTTCAGACTGCTTCACCACACCCATCTTTGGATGTGTGCAATCAATAATATGCAAGCATGACAGAATCCTGTGTGACACTTGTGAGTTTGTCTTTGATGCGGCGTAGAAAGTGACAATGCACATAAAAAGAAGACTAAAAGAGGAACAATCAGCAATGAAAGACACAAAACCATCTGTTCAGGAGAACACAAATGAATAAGGAACTTGTCGGTAATAATTAGCATACAACATGCCACCTGAACCTAGCCACCTGTAGGGTATCCACATACCCCAAAAGGGGTTTGTAGCTCCATTTAAGCATACTAAATTTGAACAGAATCCGATGATATCACAGACTAAGCCACCAATTTGGCTCTAGTTTACTACAAGAGGTAAAATTTAAATGCTTGTTTACTACACACCTCAGCCCCCCGTTTGGGGGCTGTGCGGACCCCAATTGGAAAAAATGAAACTTTGATGAGTTCACTGGGGTCTGCTTGGTCTGGGGCCATAACACACCCTAAATGTCATTCTGTCATGAAAAACCTGATCATCTCTCCTAAAGAGACCCAATTCTATATACAAGAAAGAAATGAAAAAAAAAATAAATCACATGACATTTTTGGTAAAGCCCTAAATGAAAGATTCCCTAGCCGATTGTTATTTATTCTATTGTGAGATAATCTCAGTTTAAAAGTAAAGGTATGTATTTCCATTTTACCCTGGAAGACGGTGATTGTTTAAACTTGGAGTACTTTTGGTAGATGAGAGCAGCAGAGGCTTATACCAAATAGAGGAGAAAACAACATCTGAAACCTCCACTTGTAAATTACTGTAAATAAAATAAAAAATCTCAGGGCGCCCCGAAGGGATAGTGGATAGGGTTTAGGAGTCATGCCCGTTACCGCAGCATGGGGGCGCTACGTGTAGATAAAGGTGATATAATTGCATCACCTATACAAAAACAAGAAGCAAATTCACTTATTTACGAAAAGAAAATTGACTAAGTTGCTAATTTCCATTGAGGAAATTATTAGGACACCGTCACATTCATCACTATTTAAAATTCCTAGAATTAGATTCACCATATTGTGTACAAACAATATGGCGGCACATCATGGTGCAGCGGCTTCTCCAGCTCTCAGAATTAAGCCCAATTTAACTGGTATTTCTGCTTCTTGTGCAAACAAGCGCCTGAGTTACAGTTCAGTCGAACTCATGGATATCAGGGCTGGATATACCACGACTGTTCCCCCTGTAGTCATGTAAATGTTAGGCAGATTGCGGCTTCTGAGAACATCGGACTGGCGAGGCAGAGCGCAGTGGCTAGGAGCTAAGCGGAAGCGGTGTGCTCGGAAACAAAAGAGGGGTAAATGGGGTGGCCTGCTAGCTAAGCTAAAGGCTAGCAGACCACCGATCCCATCACTCTTCTTGGCAAACGTCCATTCTCTTGATAACAAGATGGATCTAATTCATCTGAGGCTGGGAGCTTCCCGTGAGATGAGGAACTGTGCGGTAATCTGCCTTACGGAAACATGGCTAAAAGACAACATGCCGGACTCAGCTTTCCAGATTGACGGACTGCAACTTTTCCGAGCGGATCGCACTCACCGGTCGAGGAAGACTCGCGGGGGTGAACTATGTGTTTACATAAACAATGCTTGGTGCATTAACTGTAGTATGGTGAGCAAATACTGCTCTGAGTCGATTGAACATCTCACTGTGAAATGCCGGCCACATTGTCTACCTCGCAATCTCGCTGCAGTATTCGTCACAGCGGTTTGCATCCCGCCGGACACTAACGCTAACGAGGCTTTGAGCGAGCTTCATGACATCATCAGCTCACTCCAACACAAGCATCCAAAGGCATTCTATGTGGTAGCGGGCGACCTCAACCATGTACCTGTAGATTTGACAGTTACTCTGCCAAACTTTTACCAACATGTCACCATACCGACACGGGGAAATAACATCTTGGACCATGTTTACACAAACAAACGGGGTGCATACAGATCCATCCCCGCCCCCATCTTGGCCTTTCCGACCATATTTCCATCATGATGGTTCCAGCCTATCGTTCCCTGGTCAAGCACAGGAAACCATTACAGGGAACTGTGACTGTGTGGCCGTGTGACGCTGACTCCATGCTGCAAGACTGCTTCCAGTGCACAGATTGGCAGGTCTTCAAACAAGCAGCTACAAGTGGAGGAGAGGTAGACCTGGAGGAATATACCCTGACTGTCCTCAGCGACATCTCTAATTGTGTTCATGATGTCACCACCACAAAGAAGGTCACCATCTATAATAACCAGAAACCCGGGCTGAACACAGAGGTTCGTTCTTTGCTGCAAGCCAGGAATGTGGCATTCAGGTCCGGTGACACAGATGTCCTGAGAGCGGCCAGGAGGGACCTGACGGCAGGCATAAAGAGGACAAATTAAGGCTGCATGGCCCAGAAGATACAGAGTCATTTTTCCTCCAGTGACCCGCGGAGCATGTGGAGGGGTATCAAGTGCCTTGGCTACAAACCCAGTGAGGCACAGTGCCCCAGAGATCCTTCCCTCCTGATGTCCTAAACACCTTCTACACCCGCTTCGAGGACCCCAAGACCATCCCTTCCTCCAGCACCAGGCTCCCTCCATCACCTGGAGAAGTGCTCCTCAGCACGAGCACAGCGGAGGTCTGTAGGACCCTGCAGAAGATTAACCCATGCAAGGCTGCAGGTCCAGATAACATCCCTGGGCTCTCACTCCGATTGTCATGAAGTGCCTTGAGAGACTGGTTATGGCCCACATTAAGAGCTCTATCGATATCGTTGCGGACCTACATCAGTACGCCTATTGCAGGAACAGATCCACTGATGACGCCGTCTCTGCAGTGATTCACATCTCCATCACAAAAAGGACTAATAGACTATAACCCTCCAGCAGACCAAAAGGACATATAACATGTGCAATACACTCATACAGTATGTGCAATGTTCCCCATAACATAGTATTTTAATTATTATCTCCACCAACCGTAGTGATATTTAACACATGCAGTAAGTCCGTACAGTATGTGCAATGCTCATTATAACACAGTAACTAAGTTATTACTATTATATAGTAAATTACCTGGATCTGTTTTATGTTGCATCCATGTCTGCTTCTGCGTATTGGACACTGTACATACTACTATTTTGTAATCCATTTATACTCCAATACCCTTATATTTAATTTTCATCTTTATACACTCACCTAAAGGATTATTAGGAACACCATACTAATACGGTGTTTGACCCCCTTTCGCCTTCAGAACTGCCTTAATGCTACGTGGCATTGATTCAACAAGGTGCTGAAAGCATTCTTTAGAAATGTTGGCCCATATTGATAGGATAGCATCTTG